TATAGGGGTTCTATAATGACTATAATATCAGGGTTATATATGGTAATGGGATTAAGGGTCCCCATTAGGGGTCCCTCCTAAAGTCCCTAGAGTTCCGTACTTGTTGCCACTGTGGAGCTTGCACTTCTCCTAGGCCTACATTCACGACGAAAGATCCCTAGTAAAGCTAAGCCTAAGGACAATGACGGGTAGCCCGGCACGAACATGGAGCCTTTAACACTATTATTGTAACTAGTACTCTTATTGTTACTGTTACCTACTTCTATAATTAGTACTATTAATACTATTACTATTATTGACCCTTTAGAGCATTGAAGTGATCCCTGGCGCAGTTTCGAAGCTTGAAGCAAGCTCTGCTCACGACATCCGCACAAAGAAGCCTCATACAGCCGCCCTGTATAGCTATCACCTCTTAAGGTCTGAATGCAACCCCAAATCAGCGACCCGCTTCTACAATACGATCAAGGTTTGTCTGTGCATGTTGGGATGCTTTAGACAATGGAGCAAAGCTTGCAGCTGAGGCTCCACTTGACCCTCAACGCGCAGAGTCATGTCAAAAAAAAAAGTTTATCCCACCCCGTGGGCAATGATGATTACATTCGGCGTGATTATGAAGAGTCCCTATACAGCCCGCTAAAAACTTCCAGGGCCAATGAAGCCTGGCTGGAATCATCTCAGATGATTGATGACCACCTGCCCGACAATATCCGTCAGCCTGCAGGCATCTGCAGGCCTTTTATTCCTTCCCACCAAATTGCATGTAGCACCCCTTTGAGAGGACAGTAGCCCTTGCAGGGTTCCGTTTGGGGGTTCCACATAAAAAGGGGACGCTTACAATACTCAAGCTGAGTGGCCGCAGCAAATCGTCATCTGGCAGATCGAACCGGCGCCTGGCAAGTGGGTCCCTTTGTGAGGGTCCCTGTCAACATGGTGGTCGAAACCTGACAAGACCATTGATAGCCTCTGAATTCCTGACGTGTTCAACGTCCACGAAGATGCATGGACTGCAATGCAGGGACTAGAAAACTTTGTATGAACTCGCAGACTGGCATCCTTGTACCGACCTTCAACAGACATGCTTACATCGACATTCATAAATACTAGAGCTCCTTCGCGTGCCTTTTCTAACTAATGGAGCCTAGGCATGCATACTATTGCATACTTCTCAATCTCCAACCCCCTATTCTCTGTACTTGGATTCCCTGTGCAACAAACCCAGACATAAATTCAAAGAAAACCTCCGGCTATATCCTGAAACCTAACAAGGACCACTGGAATCCACAGATTACACTATCCCTTTCTTAACAAGAAGAGCTTATCCTCTTGCCTCTACCTTACGAGGACCCCCACCCTGTAATAGTGGTAAAACAGGAATATAAGAGGGCCCTAATTTACTTACCATTGTCCCTTACAGTCACTATTACAGGGTGGGGGGTCCATCCTAAACCCGAAACCCTAAATAGTAGCTTCCTTCTTCTTTTCCATCCCAAGATAACCCTAATATCACCCCAATATTAACCGAATTCGGATGGGTACTATAACCTCAATACCCTAAACCCTAAACCCAAAACTGCGCTGGAGGCCTGCAATGCTGGTGGCTCCAACCGTTCTCCGCGCGTGGGAAGTCCACCCATTCAGGATGGCCGAACCTTGGGGGCCAGGTTGTCCTATTCGTCTCAAAAGGGTTTAGGGTTTAAGGTTTAAGGTTTAGAATCTAGGGCCCCTCATGGCTATATAGGTATAAGATCCTTCATCGTAGTCCCTGTAACCCCATAGGCCCCATAGTGTCCTCTACTATAATTAGTCCCTAGAATCCATCACTGCCCCTTGAGCTATAGCCTAAACTCCTAAAATCCCCTTTGTAACCCCGAGTCCCCTGTATAATCACTTATATAACCCCCCTTAAGGATTTTGGACTGTAGCTCACCTCAGAATGGTCCCTATGACCCATTCCGCAGAAGGAAGCGGCTAGGGTTCAGAGCTGTCGAGAGCCTCTGTCACATACTGTCATCCGGTGCATCCCTCGAGGGGGCGCTTCCATCGTCTGATGCCTGAAATCTTGCGACAAAATTCAAAACTTCTACCAAACCCTAAACCCTAATCCCTAAACCCCCTAACTTTGGGAACCCTAAGCCCTAAATCATGTCTGCCAGGAAGCTCATTGCCCATGAAGTTGAGGTACCCCTCGCCTGGCGATGTTGACAACTGCTGCCCAAGCTCCGAAGCCCAGGATCAACTCAGAATTACTGTATCAGCCAAGAAGGGTGCTCAAATGCCCATATATAAGCTCCGACATTTCGCTCTATACCCTACACCCTGGCCCTGAACCCCAAACCCTGCATAAACCCTCAACCCTAAACCATGGCGCAGCCCTCGATCCCTACACCACCAAGGCCTCCCAACCCCTGCACCAACAGGCGGATCATCTTGTGCCTGTGTCACTAGGGAAGGCACTCAAAGGAGGATTCCGCAAAGAAGGGCTATATATGGGATCATATCGGGGTGATACAGGATTTAAGGTTTAGGGTTCCGGTTTCCCGCAGTTAGGGGTACCTTTTTGGGCGATCCCTATAAAAAGGAATATTGTACATTGGGGTCGAATTTGACGTCCCCTCAAAAAAACAACTACCACAGAGCTACAGCCACGATTTCATTGTTGTCTCGCAAGATGGATGTTGAAATGGTCCGCCCCAAGATGGCGCTGATTTGGCTCCTTTCCATGTTGGGTAAAGTGTGAGCGAGTTTTACTATATCTGTGGCAATGGAATTCCCCAGCAGCAGGCTTTCGGGGTGAAATCGTTGAGGTTTCAGGGTTGAGGGAACGTAAGGGATTACAACAGTACCCCCCCAGATTTAGAACCCTATTAGGCCTTATTAAGGCCTACCTAGTCCTTATTAGCTCCTTAAACCCTGGGGAGGGTACCAAGGAGGGGGTACTATTATAATCCCTTAACTTGGAGCTTGCACAAATTCACTGCCATAGTTGAAGTGCGCTTTACGCTGCGCTCTTGCCTGTTGACTACGGCTGGGATTTGCCGACTCATCAGGAAAAGAAAAGGGAGCTTCTGAAAAGAATGACGTTAAACCCGACACCTCAAAGCCGAAGTCCCAACAAAAGCAGATAGTCCACAACAACCTGAACCTCAAACCACCCCATAGTCCATGAGAGTCTGAACCCTCCTATCCCCCTTACTAGGCCCCATGATAGGAATCCTATATAGTCCCCTATATAACCCGTTAAGGAGTTTAGATTAGAGCTCACATCACCAAGGCACAGGGCCAGTCCACGGTCCACTGGCATAGTGTGGTGAGGATTCTGCACGATGCCTTTATAGCTTCAGAGTGTCTCCGTTTGAGGGCTTGGGATTCACGTTTAAGGTACTGTACTGAAACAGGTGGTATAGTTTCCCTAAATAAGGGGACCCCAATATAGACCCCCAAAATACATCCATAATCTTAGGAAACCCCCAGGTGGCTCTTGGGTTCAGGGTATTACTTCGGGCAGTGGCGGGGTTTATGGTATTCTTCCGACCTCCTGGGTTCGTTACACTCAGACACCCTGAGAAAGAGAGCAGTGATGCTGCATTCAACCTTCCCAAATCAAGGCCCCGATTTCACAACAACCGATGCTATGCTACGCGTTCAAACCAGGTCCGCATCCATAACTTGGCGACCGGCACATGTGGATTGTGGGTTAGACGCATTTGAGATATTTGCCAGAACCAACCTCCTTGAGCACGCCTACGGGCATCCACAAACATCACAAAGCATGCTGATCCTGTTTTCTCTGTTTCTAACTACTACCTTTCTTACCATTCAACTCTCATCCGAGTAACTCATGTCTGTGTACATGGCGGCGTCCATAAGCCAGAATGCAATCGTCTTGTCGCCAACCTTGTGTCATGTCATGGTTTTTTCGGAGAAGAGTTCAGGCTACTGACGTCGTAAATTGCACAGGCATGCAACTTGTTCGCAGCCTGTTCAGGGTCTAGCCAGTATGGTAGGATAACACCGAAAATCTCATCACCCTTGCCCAAGCAATTGAAGGCCGTCTCCTCCCCCTAACATACACGGCGCTCTGATGGATATCTGGGAACCATGTAGGCTATGGTGTCAGGGGCAGGGATCTTGTCAAGGGAGAGGACCTCCGAGACCCTATGCGGCATAAGCACAAACATCGCCATGACTACAGAAGCCCTTATGATATATGTACACTTCTATATGGCAAAGCTATATATAAGCCAATTGAGATTGTAGCAGGATACGTTGAACCTCTTTGTGTCAAGGTCAAGATGCATCAACTTATAACAGACGTGGCAACAAGGCATGTGACCATAATTCCGACGGACTTCGTGGTAACAAGATTAATTAACGATAACGGTCCGCTTGCAAATTGTTGGCTCCTGGAGCTGTGCATCAAGATCCTATCTCTCCAGCTAAAAGTTCCAGCACTTCTGCTGAGGCTGTGGCAATCGCCTGATCGTGGGACTCGGCGTAAGCGACCACCTGCCAAAGACGAAGTCATGATCTTCGTCCATGCAGGGGGTGATCGAAATTGCAGGTCCCCTTGAAGAGGCCCTACCATAATCTTCCTTCACGATGTTGCTTATGGTTCCTCAGTACAATGCTGCGAGAAGAACCTGAAGAATCTGCAGCCTGAGGCATGGTCATAGCCCATATTAGGGTTATAATGGGGTTATATTGGGGTTATATTGGGATAATGGAAAAGAAAATGGAAACTACTATATATTGGGGGTTTGGGGGATTTAGGGTTTAGGGGAGTGAGCATCGAGCCCGATTAGCCTGCTAGCTTCTGAGGCGTTGCACTTTTGCAAACAAAAATGCTGGGGACCAGCAAGCATTGCCCCATGACAGTGACACTCTTGTTAGCGGCCGTTCAAGATATGTCTAGGGAATGCTCGGGTCCATCCGTGTAAAGCCTTATGCACTCATATCGTCTGTCAGAACTCCCGCCCACCTTCTCCATGTGTCGCCTGTTTGTCAGCCTCAGCGAGTTCAGGGGCATCTGTGTTCTTTCCACTTAGGCCAACTGACATTCGAACCTATGTGTATACCCACTCTTGGAAATAGCCAAATAACGTGCAGCCACAAAACCATGCCAATCAGGTATGCAAGTTCCAAACAGAATTTTTGAAAAACCCTGCTCCTGGAGGTACTTTCTTATCTTAGTCTTTGCCGGACTTATTGTATCCCGAATGGTTCGTTCCTGCTGCTACATAAAGCCGAGGTGCGTGAAGCAAATGTGTCCCATGTCCCAGCCATCGTCACCCACTTCCTTGTCAGGTGGTCGAATGGCAATCACTAGACTGGCTTCATCATTGCTTGGGTGGGCCCAAGAAACCACCAAGAACACCTACCTTCACGCCAGTGAGCCCGAGACAAGACCTGCAATTACGTATTCCTACGATCCACCATCCCCCTGTGAGTCCCAGCCTCTAGGTAGCAGATCTATCACGAGCACTACGGCTCATTCTAACGGACCATGACCGCCTATGAATTGTGTGTTCGTCGTATTGAACAACCCCTCGGCCGTATGCCCTCAACAATACAGCCCACTCAAATAAAATGGATACCCAACAGAGGGACAGTCTACGACCACCGCCCATGTAAGGGGGGTCTGCATCGGGTTCCGTGTCATTTTGGTGGCAAAGGGGGGGGGGGGCCAGCCTTCAGGAGCTTGATGAACATATCTGGGATTGCCATGGCCAAGCCTCGCAAAGACATTCACAGCTTCTTCTGTGCTGCCGCCCTCATGGCAGGATCTGTTCGGGAGGTTTTCACGAAGCTGCTATGTGCTAACGGTTAACGTGAACTTCCAACTAGTGAGACCCTGCACGGACCATGGCCTAAGCATTGGACTCCCTCGTCTTGCTTGACGCTGACGAGATGCGGTAGTCAAAGCCGAAGCCACCCCACTCCACAGGAAGGCCGATCGTTGGCATGCCGCTTACGTCCTGGTATGCTCGGCATTGGCCGGTGCTGACTGCAGGCAGCGGCAGCAGCAGCTGCAGCAGCAGCAATCATTATATGCTACAGACGGTGGCAAGGTTACATAGAACGCACCAGGACCGCGCATCCTTTGCGAAAACAACTCTATACGAACCGAATCCTTGTCCTGCATATCATCATCATCATCATCATCAACAACAACAACAACAACAACAACTTCTTCAGCATGGCCACCATACACGTGCACAAGTGCAAATACAAGAGAGTGATATCTGCAACACGCGACAGCGATCATAAACGTTTCACAACATGTTCCTCAGGCAACGGGACGTGGATAGTAGTTCGAGGCTTTGTAAGCATATCCTGAGAATTACGCATTACTTGTCTTAAACATGGAAACCCTCAAATTCGACCCCTGTGTACAACTAACCATGCTGCCCCAACACAACCCCTCAGGACCTTCTACAGCAATCTGAGCCGTACCTAGCCGTTGCAGAAGGATTCCGAGGTAGGTAACATCGCAGAGTGGTGCGATGGGACATTAATCCGCCATCATTGAATTAATTGGTTGCCTGGTCCCAAAGATTAGAATTGGATGCTAGAACCCAAAATCCACGTCTGGGTCCTCCGCCACAGTGATGGCGGATGGAACCTGCACGGCTTGGGACTTTCGTGTTCGAGATCTGAGGGCTTCAGGGTTTGGGGTAAAGGCTTGGGGGCCCAGCTGCATCCTTGGTATGCAACGGGAAGGTGGGAAGGCGTTCTGGCTATGGCTACTGAGTCGCTGATGCGTAAACGTTTCGTGACCGACTTTGGGCGGTGCAGGCTACCTGCCCTACCCCTCTACATATATCATAATACATTTGTATTACGTGGAACTTTGCTGTCTGTTGGGGGATTCTAGGAGGTCGACTACAAAGAGGATGACCCATGTAGCAATAATCCCAATCGGGAGCCACAAAGTTGCCGCACCGGGTTTCTAGTCTGGGTTGCTGTTGAGGAACTTGATTTGATATAAAAATGGGTATGTAGTACATAATGAGGGTTTCCTTAATAGAGTATTAAAAAAAGATCCTTAACAGCAACCCGATAGTGAGGCGGTCTTCTGACAATTCTTCGACCACTCCACCTTTGAACGCCGGCACTGCAACCGCCAAAACGTAGGTGTAATTGAGACATCCGGGCAGCGTTTCTACGCCTTTTTTGTTGAAATGCCAGTAGGCCTGGAGGTATTCTATCAATCTACTGTGAGCAGACAATCTCAAACTTGAAATTCTTATTGATGGAAGGTCTTTGCCTGCAGAAGGGCCCCAGAATTTGGGAACTCAAAGACTTTGGGGATAATCGGGACGGCTGTACTTGCTGCAGACATTCATGGGTGCACATGTCATATGGAAGCGGGTGAACATGAGAGCTGCCTGTTCGTTTGTAATGGAAAAATGTAACACCACAATGGAGGCTTTGCGAGGCACAAGATCTTGACAAATGGCTCATAAAAAGATCCTAACTTCAAGAAATGAGTGCCCAAAGTACAAAGCTTCGCAGTCAAACATTTTCTTGACAAGCACATGGGGCTCCTAAGAGATAGGCATTCCTACCTACTGACATCCCGACTTGCCCAGTAAAATGCCAGCGTCTGTCGCGTTAATACACATTTGTACCAGCACTCCCGCTTAAAACCATCGTCACCATCAGCACTACAACTTACTGCCATCTTCTTTGTGATCAGTGGTACCCTTTCTTGCTTGGGTACTAGTACAACTGCTCTCAATTCTATGGTCATTCCTTGCAACTGCTTGCGCAGCATGTCTGGGGCTCGCACCACGGTGTGGATAAGGTCATTCGACAGCATCAGGTAGATGTGGCTGTCAATATCGGCATCAGGTCCGAAGTATTCCTCTCTTTGAGGGGTCAGGTCTATGCGTGAGTCCATTTGTTACCATATGGTTTAGTATAGCCACCATGCTTGCAACTACCCCTGCTCTGCTGTTGTGCCAGGCTTTGGCTTCCGCAAGCACTACAACTCTTCTGCAATTACATGCTAATGCGGCTGATTATGAAACTTGAGAAAGATGACACTTGACAGTTGGTTTCCGGTTCTGGAACAATTTTGTAATGTCAAAGCATGATCAAAAAGCCAAAATTCGTGGTAGCCGCCGGTGTATCCCTTGCCGATGCCTGGGATCATGTTGGGTTCTGCTGCAACTAGCTTCAGCGCTCCTGTTTCAAGGCTGGCATGAGTCCGAGCAACACAGTTCAACAGTACTCGGTTCTCATGGTTGCAAGCCAAGTAAAACGATATCCTTGTTGCAGTCTACGGGATCCTGGAATCTTGTGGTCTCACTCACACTTGAAGATCCGGAGATCCCTAGAAAGGCAACCACAAAGATTGGCCTGCATTCCATCCCAACGTAGTACAAATACTACGCATTGCAGTAGGCTGCCAAGATGACGAGGACAAACACTTTGCACAACTTGGACGACAATTTCGATCAATCTAACTTCTGGCCCATGATACTTTCAAAGACGTGCCTCAGGCATAGTCAGCTCGTTTACTGAGCAGCACATCCAGGTTTTGGAAGGCCGAACAGAGGCTTTGATTGCTGAGGGGCTGTGGCTTGTGAAAAGACTGACACCAAGGAGCCGTGCGAGTGGTAAAGCATAGAAGTGATGCCATCGAAGCGGAAGCCATCAAACTTGTACTCCTGCTAGGCTTATGGGGACAATGCATGTGTCAAGGTTGTGCTGCAGTCAGCTGTACCCTCCACCTGCGTAGCCCCATGTCACAGGGTAAGGAGAACAAAAGGCAATGAGTTCCATGCCCTTGTACTATTTCCATGGCGAAGCTGCGCATCAAACGCAACACTACCCACCTTGTCAGAATACTGCTGAAGGGCCCAAAGATCCCGAGACTGTCTGCCTTTTTGCCGGTAGGACGCCTGATCAAGTACCCTGCTCAAAACCCACCTAAGCAAGGACTATCATGAGAATGACGGGAAGCTTTCCATGCCCGGATGCGCAGCTCGCATACAAAGCATGGATCTAAGCGATGCGATGATTTGGTATGGCTTGTATTCCATTCCTCTGCTCTTGGGCACCACCATATGGGGTTGTGTAAAAAACCAATTCCTATTTGCTTGACCCGTAAAGTTTTGTGATCGTTTCATTTTCCGCTTATCGTTTGTCAATGTTTGTGGCTTTATAATTACTTTTCCTCTTACCATTTTTCCAACTAAAGCCCGACGTTTCGCACTTCGTGCGCCAGGACATGATCCTCTAGCGTGGGACTTCTATACAACTCTATATAATGATAGGCCACCATTAACGAAGTATCAAAGACATTCTAGTATTGACTCTTCTGCTTCTTTGCCTATGTAACCCCTATATAAGCCATTTAGAGGTAACCCCATTATAGTAGTTTCCATTTTCTTTTCCATTCTCCCAATATAACACCAATATACTATAGTAGTTTCCATTTTATTTTCCATTATCCCAATATTTGCACTTGTCCTCCAGCCACCACTTGACGTTGGAGAGGAGGAAGCGAAGCACCTGTGAGGTGCGGTCCCTCATCCCTGGTTTCAGGATTCTGGGCTAGGGCTTAGGGTCAGGGATTTGGGCTGGGGGTTTCCGTGGAGTCTTAGTTAGAGCCTGAGATATGAATATACCAACATATGTATATACATATGTGTATGTATGTATGTATGTATGTATGTATCATGTTCCAAAAATGACGAGCACTATTTCCAAGCTCTGGCAGAAACCTCGAGCTTTTGGACTTAAGGGTCAAGCCAAATTCTTCTACAAAAAACACCAAACACATGCATTCTAGGCAATGTTATATCGGGACTTGTAAAAGTGTCATAGAGGTCCGTATAAACAGTTGAGGATACAAACGATTGGTAACCGCATGCCGGAAGAAGCCACCTCATACTTCAGGTAGTTGAAGATCTTCCTGATCAGGGCACATCACTTAACCTGTCCTAGTTGGCAGACGCTTTAAGCCTAATCGGAGTGGAAACCCTAAGCACCTAACCTAGAGTGGGGAGGGCGCTGAAAGAATCCTGGCATGATGACAACTAGTACACAGTCTATGGCTGGCACAAATTGCTTCAAAATCCTTACTGTTAAGCGCTTCAACTGACAAAGGGCTCTGCCAGGGCTCAAGTGGCGTGCAGTAGATGCAATGACTGGGGTTCATGACAAGCCCCACATGCAGCAACTCAATCATTGGAATCCGACAAGTGTCATGATGAGACTGCTGCTTTACTGTCTAAGGATTATAAAGAAGTTATATCCGGGTTATATAGGGATGTATATATATATATGTATATATGGATGATATAGGGATTCCTGCAGAAATGGATAACATATGGTGCGTTGTGAAGATTCGGGAATGTACTACGGCTCAGCTTTCATTGGCCAGAGGGTGGCCCTGACACTCTTAGCCAGAGGGGTCATAAATCATTCCCAAAGCCACCAGCTGGTGAGATTTGGTGGGTGTAGTAGTGCTCATTTGGGACCATCCGTCTGTGATGGGATAGCAGTATAGAACAAGAAGGCACAATGCGAGCCAGCAAACCAGCTGCTCAGCTCATGACACCATGAACAAACGCCTTCACAAATTATGTGCTTGCAAGAGGGGATGACACAAGAAGCCACGGTATTCCAGTATCAGCATTGCAGAAAAGGTTGGTACTGTCACTGTTCTTCTTCTACTGCTTATAAGTTATAAGGGGTCATTAAACAGCCAAGCATCGAGTCCCACTCGCTGTGATGGCCTTTGGGTCCTGCCAAGCGGGTGAACACTTGGCATTCTCGGACTTGCATGGATAAGAGGCATGGACCTTCAGGGACTGGTATAGCGCAACAAACTTGCTCAAGATTGACAGCAAGTCCTAGGAAATGGATTTGCTTCCGAAGCTTTCAAGCAAATGGGTGGAAGGCAGTGGGTCTGCTCTTTTCAGGACTGAGAAAGACCATGGAAGCTGCAAGCTGCTGATGTTGTTCCTTCGCTCCCTCTTTCTTCATTCCAACAATACAAGACACCGAGAGCTTCTCAGTTGCCTAAATAGGTTGGTATAGCTTCGCTCAGGTTGAGGAGCACGTCCCCAGAAAGCTCATAGCACTGCAGCTTCTGTTGCGGCAAAACAGGTATATAGTTCCTCCCGGAGACGTGTGCACAACTGCAGAGTCCTCCGTGCGTATAACCTTGGACGTGGCGAGACATGCCCACATCACGAATGTAAAGGCTACAGAAAAATATCATGGAATGGCTTGGCAAGCCAGTTGCAGATGGCTAACTTCCCCAATTCTGGTTTCTGAACTCAGCACGTCTATCATCAAACCCCTTCCGACCCTAAACAAAAAACATGTTCACGTTAACGCATGCTAAACCCAGGATTGGCACGTGTTGGGCCTCCAAAACAGAAGTCTCTGCAAACTACAAAGTAGGAATATGTGATGCAGGTTATGCTTCTAAGCTTCGAGGGTTTCCTGTCTTGTTTTCATACCATACCGCCTGCTTTGCGCGGGCCACTTGGTACAGTAGTAACAGGAACCCGGGGTGTTTATGCAAGCTGCAAGCACTAGCGGTTTGGAGAGCACTGCAGTGCTCGCCCAAATAGGTACGGTAACCCCACTGCAGAGACGTCCATCAAGGACAGTCTTCAACTCCACTGGGTCCATTTTCGCAGTGCAATGACACTGTACTGTTTGTTCGGTGAGCGTCATATCTTGCAAGAGAACCCTGCGCATGTGACAATAACTAGTTATATACGGTGAGGGCGTGAAGTATGAAGTGAAACAACCCTCTTACAAGGAGGAAAGCCCTGCATGTGCTCAAACCCACCTTAACTGTGGCCCACTGTCACCCCTCCTGATTTTCCCAGCAAATCGCCCGAGCCCGAGCCACAGAGCAGAGAGGGTTCATGAGATCAAATAAAAGCCCTCTGCAACATCGGGATCTGCGGTCCCAATTCCTTAAACTTCAAATGAACTACTTGGATGTATGAAGCAGACTTGCGGAAGCATATACTCCAGGACTTCCCTCCAATAGTCTCCATCTTGATTTGCCGAACATGTCTTGTAACCACCTTCTACGCCAAACTCCAAACCCTGAACTGCATGCCCAGAACCATGACTTCCAAATCCTGGCAAAACCCAATCCCATTCCTACATCATGTTCACATGGGGGTTTCCAAAATAGGGTCCCCCTAACATACCCTGAACATGCTACTAGGGAGGGACTTCCCGAAGAGTAGTTTCCATGTCGTTTTCCATGTGATTTTCCATTTGGTTCTCAACTGGTGCTACTCGGTAGCAGTGGTCGGTGCCATCCATCTGGGCAATCCTGAGCTGGGTTTTTGGCCTTTAGGGTTCAGGGTTGGACCAAAACTGCTGCGAAAAGCCTTACCAGCTTTTCCTAAGCTACTTACTGCCTCCGGGGGTGCCCTAGGTGCCATTGTATCCACGTATGTATTGTTAAGTTGACATCCTCATTGCCATGGTTTTGGTCATTGCCTCCATCAGATGTGGTGCTTCAAAGATGGGTGCGTAGGCCGGGCTCTAAGTACTTTCAAGGAAGCTACAGGGGACATCCTAGCCCGCAGTCCCCACATCCGCAGGGCACGTAGTGGTGTCATATCATGTCAGGTCTGTGGTAATGACAAAGACTGAGGCCCATGCCACGAAACACCCAGCATTACCCTGCACTGTAGCTCTCAAACCCTCAACTGGAGCATCCTAACCTTTGAGTGGGTAAAGAAGAATGCTGCAGAGACACATCTTTTTTTGCTAAAGTTGCTGAAGCTGATCAGAGATTGCTTCGAACCTGCTCTGGCATGTGAAGACCTCGTTTGAGGAATCTGGGCCCCCCACCCCAAATCCCTCGCACCCCCGAGCCTCGTTGACACAGTTTCCTCAATCCGCCCATTGATGGCCCTGAATGTAGTGATAGCGAGTTGAGAATATGACATCTGAAGTTTGGGTCCCGTTTTTGCAGCGAAGGGCAGCCGCAGGGGCTCCTCAACTTAGCAGCAAGTGATGTAGCTGCCAAACAGAAAATCGTGCCATTGAAGCAATTTTCGAGCGTTCAAGAATAAGAATCTGCGTAATCATGTTGATAGAACCTCCTGCGCCCGAAGCCCTCGAGGCTTAATCCCTACTAAACCTGCGTCGGGACTCCCATCCAAGGTGTTGGAGGATGCGTGGGCATGCACCAGGTCCATGAGAACGTGGATCCCAAGACCTGGGCCATTTTCGAAACTTCTTGGAATTGAATTGTAGGGTCCAAAGCTTTAGCCATGCTACCAGCTCTCGGGGCAGCCATTCAAAAACATAGTCCCCCTGTACCCGCTGGACATCAAGCCCCTACTGCATGGGCCCACCAAAGAAATGGTGCAGAGAACTCCATTCTAAGGTCTCCGGAGAGCGTAAGATAGGGGGAGGGTTTGGTTGCAGGTGGCTTATGCTTACGGAAACGTGTGACCATTTTAAGGGCAGATCCCACTCTTGCAGGCACATATCGGGACGAACTACATACACTTACCCAAACACCATCAACAAATACAGCAGATTGACATGAAGACAGCCTGAACCGCAAACCCTGCTCTTGGCTTGAGGATCACGCCGTGGGCTGTGTCCACCAGATACTTCAACTCCTCCCAGCACAAGAACGGGAGTTGTTTAGGGTTTAGACGGCCCCTAAAATTCCCAAGGGATACATCGGGATTATGAGGGGATTCTGCCCACCTTATTTGGGATTGTAGAAGGGTTGCTGTGAGAAATCGTGAGCATGGCCCCTGTCTAGGTGCTCTTCTGAAGATTCCTATGAGTTTTCGGGTTTAGGGTTTAAGGTGGAGCATCAAAACCCTGGTCAGTTTGGGTACGGACCCAGACGGAACCTGCGTTCAGGCAACGAAAGGTCTGGGCAAGGGGCCGTGTGGGAAATTGACACTTCTGCAGGTCGTTCTTTGGCGTCTGTATCAATCTGGTTGAAGGTTAGCGGGTAGGGCCTGAAACCAAGTCGCCCATTCCTTACAAGATGAACTTGGGGTTCAAACGCGTTGTTGGGTGCAACAATCCCTTGGGGGAACTGTGGGTGTGAAACAGCTGCAGCTAGTTTTTGGCTGTCGAGGCCATCGTCCAATCCCAAACCCCTGCCCGCCCCAAGCTGCCTGTCCTTCAAGAATCGCCCCCATGTGGGCTCTTCCAGCTAAGAAGGCCCACCCTTATAGTCCCCTTTAGGTAGATAGA